GTCCTGCTTGGAGGCTACGCGGCCAAAGTACTCTGAGATCGTCAGCTCTGACCTGGTACATAGTGGGTTCATGGTAGAAGGGTTTGGGGGTAGAGCAGATTTCTGGCGTCACCGTCGGGAATGCAAATACCTACACATAATCCTTGTATGTGCCTGCATGCTCACACACAGATACACAGACATGTGCTCAGGTGTTTCTGCACATGTTCGGGTATATGCAAGAACACTTCCAACATTAGTGTGCAAGTTGCTTTGTGTCTGGTTCTTCCTCTCGAACTTTCTGTAGAAATCTCAGTGCGCCCAAAGCCTATCAGGATCCTTTCACGTGTTGTTTGTACAGACATCAACCGAATCCTAGAGCACACACCGGCAGGCCATAGCCGTAGCGGCCTTATGTGTAGCGAACGCAAACAAGCACATGCTCACGCAAAAGACAAAATGATTGAAGCGAGATCTGGCGTCTATGCCCATGTCTAAACCTGCATCTAAATCGTTATCCATCTCGTTGTACATGTCTACGTCTATATCTATGTCTATCTCTTCTATCTGTCTATCTATGCATCTATCTACTTATCTGTCTATCTATCTATCATATCTATATATCTATCTATCTAATCAACCAGCCAGCCAACCAACCAACCAGCCAACCTACCTACCGACCTACCTGCTTATTTGTCCATCTATCTATCTATCTTACTATCTAACCTACCTACCTACCTACCTACCTACCTACCTAGCTACCTGCCTATCTGTCTTTTCATCTAGTCTAGTCTAATCTACTCTAATCTAATTTATCTATCTATCGGTCTATCGATCTATCTATCTATCCATTTATTTTATCCATTTGTTTATCTATCTATCTATCTATTTATCTATCTATCTGTCTATCTATCTATCCGTCTGTCTGTCTATCCGCCAGCCTATCTCATCTACCTCAGCTGTCCAATATATCTGATCTGTCGATCGATCAAACAACGGTTGACCAATCAGTCTATGTGCCTTTCTTCTGTCTATTCGTATGTAGCTGCAGGTGTTGACCACCTGTCTCTAACTTCGTGCGTGGGTATATGTGTATATAAATATGTGTGTAGATATATGCATATATATGTATATATATACATATATGTATATTTATGTCTTCCTGTCTGCTCACCTGCCTGCCTGCCTGTGTCTGTATGTATGTCTGTATTAATGTATGTATGTATGTAGAGTATGTACATAGTCTCATTCATGTTATCCAAGGAACGTCTCGACCACAACCACGGGCTTCACCACCACGGGAGCCGCCATGGCGACCGGAGATCAGACGGTCGGAAAGACGAAAGGGAGACTTCAGAGCTGACTGAATTAGAACATGGCATTGCTGTTTAATTACATGCTACTTGTCGACGTCAGAGGTATCCCTTGTGCTTGAATTGCTCCTTGCGCAGCAAACTCCATGTGCACAAACTGGGGAGGAGCTGCTTCTCAATCTGTTGGACACCTGTCACATCATAGATGGACAAAGCAAGCTGCACAATGCTGCCTCTTCGCCCACGCACCCTAAACATCAAGTTAGTACGCCGCAACTTGTTTGCTTTGCATTTCCGAGGCGCCCTAGCAGGTGCAAAAAGCTGCAAGCCACAGGCTGCAGCATTGGGCCTCTGTCTCGCTAGAAGCCTCAATCGAGAAAGCTCGTGAGGAGCTGATCGCAACCCCAAAACCCGCATGCCCGGCACGAGTCTAATTTCAAGAATTTGGGTCCAACCTCCAACCATTCATAGCAAAGCTTACAAGATTTTCCCAGCCTGCCCTCAACGCTTTTCAGCCCTGGGCAAGGGCTGAGTGGCCAACAGACCATCAATGCTGTACCGTGGCGACGGGTGGCCTCCAGATTCAGGTTCTCAGGGCTTCATCGTGCAAGCCTTTAGGCTGGCTCGTAAATAGCTGGTTCCTTCCTTCGCAGCCCAGATTCCCGTATCAGGCTTTTGAAATTTCGGCAACCAAACACGACCAAACAAACAAACGAAGCACCGCCCCTAGCTGATGCGCATTTGCAGATCTATCCATGCATGAGTGCAAACCATGGGTACATGTATACCTGGCGGTGCGCGTAGGCTCTCAAGTCTTAGGTCTGAAGTCTACAGACTTTCGTGTATGGACAGAACAACCCAACCAAAGCAACAACACTGACGCGCGAATGTCAGACGAAGACTTACTTGCATGCATGCACACAGACATACATGCATACATGGGTCTGTGTGTGCAATCACGTGAGCTTGCGAGCATGCCTTTACAGTTTGCGCAGAAGATACATGTTTACCTGAGATCTGTATGTGTGTATATCGTACTTCCATGTGTCTGTGTGATCAAAAATCGTTTGGTCCGCACATGTGTGCATGCATGCATGCAGGTCAGCTTTCACCTACATTGACCTACATGTCTCAACGGCAAATGCGAACAACTTGATTCTACTGAGCTACAGTGCAGCTACAGCTACAGGTTTACTACCCGGTCAAGGCAGCTCGCCTCTCGTGCCTGATCGAACAGCTCCTTGCGGGTTGGGAAGCTGGAACGGTCAGGACACGTTGTTCATTATTGAAGCCGGCGACAGCAACCGGGAGCATAATGCCAACTGTGAGCTGGAAAAACGTGTCTCGGGAGCCTCCAGCGCACACACACACACGCACACCCTCAGTATCTCTGTCGCTCGTCCGCAGCCTTCCGCGGGAAGCGGTCATGCGCCGTGATTCTGCCTGCAGGCACACACATTTCTGAGCAGCTGAGCCTGACTGATCGGAAGGATTCAAAAGGATGGGACGCGGGATATCTGACACACACCCACACACGTACATACGTACAAAAAAACACAGACATACATATGTATGTACACAAACATACATATACATATATACAGGAACAAGTGTGTATATATATATATGTATGTATGTAAATAAATATATACACACACACATATATATATATAGACAAATAGATAGATAGATAG